CATCTGCCTCTACCCCTCTCTTTCCCCAATGCTTCCTCTTTTTTTTTTTTTTCTTTTTTTTTCTCTTTATGTATCTCCCTTACAGTCAAGTGCGAAACTTGAGTTTTTTGTTTTTCAGAAATATTCTAAGTGTCAAGGTCGAAATGCGACACCTGAATTTAATATTTTGAACTAATATTTGACATTTATGAAAAACTATACATTCGACTTTTCAAGCATCTTCAGGATTTGAACCGAGACACGCTGAACAACCGTAGTGGTCACTTAACGATCTCGGCCAATTAGTTATACAGAACTCTCCGCTATTTTTAAAAATATAAAGTCTTATTTTGATGATGAAAGATATAAGCTTCCTAAAAAAATTGTATGCCAGTTGTGCGAATGGCTGAGATCGTAAAGATGCGGTCGGCTTAGGACAGAATAACAATTCGAGGTTCGCCAGTTCGAACCCCATTTAACTAAAAAAAATATTTGGAACCAATAATTTTTCAAACTGTGTAAATAAATAAGACATATAGATAAATAATTAAATTTATCGAGTGTCAGCATTACAAAAATCGACATAATATATAGTGCATATATATAAATATAAATGTATATATATACGCATGTATATATATATATATATATATATATATATATATATATATATAAATATATAAAAGATAAGAAATAGTACGAGAAGGATAATTTTTAATAAATTCATATTTACGCCTGGTTAGCAGTAAACCAAACCTACTTTGGTGTAATTTAAAAATCTTATTATTTTTCCGATAAAAAAACAGTCTATCAGGAGCAGCCAAAATTGGCCAAAATCGTGACATTCAAATGCAATTTCAAGGCCCTTAATGAATGAAATTAATAATTTTAATTAATGCTTTGTGTAGACTAAAGTACAATCTTTATACCAAACCAAAAAAAATTCAAATTTATCATTGTCTTCATAGTTAAAATCAGCTTCAAAGTTGGCAATTTATCAAACTTCAATTTGGTACCAAGGGCAGAAAAACTTTTTTTTCGAAAAACTGATTTCATATTCGGAATCAGCGCCTCGAAAACTATCAGAATCAGTCAAAACATTTTAAAAATCGCGAAAAAAAATTTTCATTTCATTAGTAAAATTTTGATTTTGCAACCAAAGATTTCGATTTTTCGCGGGGTGTATGTGGGTTTATCCAAAAACGGAAAACATTTTTTAAAACAGCGTCCCAAAATCTTTTGGAATCAGTCAAAATATTTCAAAAATTGCGAAAACAAATCCATTTTTTTGATAAAATTCCGATGTTGCAGCTAAAGATTTCGTTGTTTTGCAGACATACAACCACCCTGAAAGCTCATCAATCGTGATAATTACGTCCTTTCGATTAAACAGACTTTTCCAATGAGTTCTTGATCATAAATTTCCTCTACTATAGGCGAGACTCAGAGGTTCCTTGTATGACATTCTTATAAAACCTGTAATTAGAATAAAAATTTATTCTAAGAATACACATTTAAAATAAGATTACATAGTCATTTCCACAGATTTTTAAACAAAATTTTTGCCGTTTGCCGTATACGTATAAATTCTTTAAACTTTTACAACTCGGTATACATCAAATCGATGCATTAATAAAGTTTACGTGAAAAAAATATTCAGTGATTCTGGTGTATATTTTAGCAATTTCGAAGAACTAGTTACTGTGGAATCTTTATACGATTGAATAAAATATAGATTATTTAATTTTATAAAATTGTAGAATAAATCATTTATATTAATCGAATAACTTGATATGATATTGAAATTGGGTAAAATATATTTAAACAATCCGTGAATAGTAGTCCATGATATAAAGTTAAAACCATAGGTTTTTTAACTTTTCGTTCGTGGAGTAAGTTATTGTAATTATCCAGAAATCAAAAATGAAAGTTTTTGCATATCTTCACGCAAAAAAATGTATGTATGTATGTGCGTGTGTGTGTTTGGATACAATTTTTTGTCGACGATTTAGAGAGAACGAATTAATCGATTTGAATGATTCAAAAATCATTCGATTGCTATTGATGGAAACGCTTGCTGTTTAGTTTTTGCCAAAGACAGGTCCAGCCGTTTCCAAAATGAGGAGCTAAATGTGGAAAATATGGCAGCTTTTTAAAGAACGAAGCATCTGATTTGAATGATTCAAAAAACCGTTCGCTTGTGTTGAAGAATTGATTGTTTTTGGGCAAAGCAAAAAAAATTGTGGATTTCAAAATATCAAATCTTTTTCTTTTTTAATTTTCAAAATAAAATTTTTTGATATCGAAAATGATTCGTATTTTTAAGTTGTAGCTCATTTTCAAAAACTCATTTATATACTTAAAATAAATAATTTAAATTTTGCAATTCAGTGTATATAATTTTTATAAATATGAGATAAAATCCTTTATCCTAACTTCGATTGATTAAGTTTTGTTTGTTTAGTTTTCATGTAAACATAGATAAACGTCGTTGTCTAATTTATATAAGCTTTTATATTTTGTCTATAAAATAGGAAAAATGGAAGTTACAATATTTATAATAATCTATTTGAGAACATTTGAGATTCCTCGAATATTTCGAAACATTGCTAGATGATCATTACGGTACGGGAAGTTCTAGCAAATTGCCTTAAGGCACGATGCGATACTATTTGAAAATGATATCAAATTGTGTTAAAGGTATTTAAAAAACGTGAATAGTAATCCATAGTTTTTACATATCATTTTCAAATTAAGTAAAATATATTCAACTAGTTGGTTTGGTATTTAGCCTTGAGGCAAGTTGCATGAACTTCCCGATATGTGTAAATAATCGACTTAATCAATAAAAAATAAATTAATTTATGAGTGATTAAAAGTATTCCGAGTGGATTTATTACACATATTTGAAAACGAACTAACACGTTAACGCGGAGTATTTTCTAACAGAAAATTTTAAAAATTCAACAATTTTTGTATTTGAACCAGTTTCCGTAGGACTTTAATGATTTATTACGTTTATTAAGATCTATCGTTATACCAAGTAAATCGTCTAATTTTAATTTTAACAAACGTCAAAAAAACTACTCATTTTCTCAAATTTTGATAAATTTTTAAAGTTAAACTACTTGTCGTAAGGCAGTAATTTTTTAGTAAGTTCTATAAGACTACGATATATAAAAATCGGCTTAATTTTTGTTTTCAACAATTAATTACAAGAAAACGGCTCGGTAGATTTTCACCTCAAACTAATCAGTACCATTCCCAACTAATATCTTTAGAACAGTTTTTGATTTTTTAAAATCGATTCGGTAGTTTGAGCTTGAATGTGGACGAAAAGTTTAACCTTTTTTTTCAAATTACAAAGAAACGGTTTGGCAGATCGTCTCACAAAACTGATAAACGATAGTCCTCATTGAGATACATCAAATGGCTTTTAAATTTCTGAAATTGGTACAGGCGTTTTTAAGAAAACGTCGATCAAAGGTTTAGTTTTGACAAAAAAACAATTCTAATTTTTGCAAACTTTGAAGATTTTTTAAATTAAACGACTTGTCGTAGGACCGTAATATTTTAGTATGATCTACAAGACTATGGTATCTACCGTCAAAAAAAAAATGAAAATCGTCGAATTTTTTTTTAAACTTTATTACAAGAAAACGGCCCGGCCGATCTTTACCAAAAACTAATCAGCACGATTCCCAACCAATATCTATCGAACAGTTTTTTCAAAATCGATTCAGAATTGCGGGCTAAAACGTGGACGAAAAACTTTTCACTTTTCTGCGATTTACAAAGAAACGGCCTGGTCGATCGTTTTACAAAAGGTCAGAAATGCTAGTCCTCATCGAGATACATCGAATGGTTTTAAATTTTTGAAATAGGTCCAGCCGTTTTGGAGAAAACGTCGATTTACGGCAAAAAATCTGTTCACACACACACATACTTTTTCCAAATTTGGTCTCATTCGATTCAGAATGACTTGAAACGTCGAGAAAACATGAAATTAGCGAGTCGGATTTTTTGATGAAAACAAACTTCTCCTTCGGGAAGTTAAAAAAAAGTGAATTTAACCGTGGTTTTAACTTGATATTTATTCTATTCAAATTAAGTAAAATGTATAAAAATTATCTGATTTTAAATATCACACAACAAAAAAATAGCAAAAATCTGAAGTGTTTTAATTAATTATTAAACTTTTATTTAATTAATTAGCAATTTTAAGCTAAAAATAATTGTCAACAAGTTTGGCATTCGAAATTTCTAACCTCAAAAACTGCAATTTAATTGTATGTAAAGGAATAAATTCAGGAATTAATAATTGTTTGAGATTCAATAAATATTACAATGCAAGCATAAAAATGAATGTGTCAAAAATATATTCAACAACTATTTATTTCGAATTATTCCTAACTGTTTGCCAAAATATTTTTGAATACATAGCATTAACCAGTTTGCTCAAATTTAAAATAAAAAACATTATTTGGTACTTACCTAAATCACATAAAAAACACTTCAAGTTTAAATCTATCATTTATGATATGAACATTTATTATTATGATAAAGACACTTGTATAATTAAATTTTTAATATTGCTTTGCAAGTGACGTTAGTAAGGAACTCGTTGGGTCGTTTTCTGACATTGTTTCTGTCTGTTGGTATACAAGTTTTTTCACCGATTTTTCCTTCGTGTGTTGGTGCCAATTGAACGAAGTTAACCTCATAGTCATAAACGTCATATGACGTTGACCATTTTACTGGATTGTTTGCTTTTCTGTTTTGTTACGAAATTACAAAATAAAGTGTTACTAAATTAAATTCATTTAATAATTCATACATTATTGAACTATTTAAATATGAATATTAATGAAATAAATACAAGTGTATCTATTAGTGTACCAATACCTTTAGACGAAAATGTTGAAAAATACAGTTATTCAGAAATAGTCATACAACTTATAAAATATATTTTGCATGTTCGTCGACAAATACCTTTTAATTATGATACGTTTAGTTACTTAATGAATAAAAATAAACATAAATATGATGGAAATGTTGATACTACTAATGTACTTGCTGCACGTCGTTACAAAATATATGAAGCTACATTGAAATCACTAAATAATTTATTTCAGGTTTGTATTATTGATGTAATTGTTTATTTGATACACATAATTACTAATATCTTTGCAGAATCTACAAAAAGAGATTACTACAAATTTTGAATGCATACATCAAATATCAATAGTGTTGGGAGGATCACCTGTTACAGCTAAAGAAGTTTATGATGTTTATAGAAAATCATGTTCATATCTAAATATAAGTAACTCAAAAAATAATAAACGATATCTTTTTAACAAAATATTGAGGTAAGTGTTACATTCTTTTTATTCTCAATAGTGTTTATATCACAATCATTAATACATTTGTTTCTTGCCGTATTGTGTGCACAAGACATTATTGTCTTTAAAAGATTATAAAGTGTGCCTGAATTACTTCATATTATAGTAGTATGCATTATCTGGTTTTCAAAAATGTATGTTTCAGTTCTCTCATGAAATCACCACAATTACAACAACTGTTAAGTAAAACACTGCCAGTAACAAACACATATATTTTAATAAAAACATCAGTGGATAAATTTGAATCAGTAGAGGAGTTTCTTCCTAAGGATAATTTCAAAATACCTATGAATTGTACAAAAGTGAATTTTGATTTTAATGAAGTTGAAATATCTGGAAATGAATTACATTCCAGTAATGTCTGCAGTTGCGAATGCAGATGGTACCAATCAAAAGAAATAATTAAAGGTTTTAAAGATGAACTAGTTAATGGAAAATTAATATGGTTATGACAATTAAAATGATTTAGCTAATTAAATTATTTTCTAATTCAATAAATGATGAGTTAATTTTTGCATGTATTTACATAATGAATACAATATCACTTTTAATAACTATATTAAATCTTAAGATTTTTTAATCGTTGATATGGATTGTAATTATAATGTATATACATATACAATAAAATATAACTAGTAATACCTAGTAAAGATTACTTCTTGATTCTCTGTTTTTCCCATGTTTTTCACATTCCTCAGGCTCTGAATCCGATTCTAATTCTGATTCAGAATTACTGGGTGGAAATTGATCTTCGGAATCATTATTACTTTCTGTTACACTAGTACTCTAGTAATACAAAAAATTCTGCATAAAATGTGTGTTAATTAAATAATAAATTATGATTATTTTAATTGAGATAAATGCTAGCAAATATTTAAATGTAGCACAATGCATTGTGCAAGAATTATGAATAAAAAAAAAGAGCCAAAATTAACATAACACTTTGAAAAAGTGATATTAAAAATATGAAGTTATGTGATGAATATACAAAATTTAATATTAATAAGCTGTACCTGTGTTGCAATAATTTCACCTTTAACATTTCTGTTAATTAGATTTCCCATAATAAAAGCTGTAGGACATTTATTTGCTACAAGAACAGCTTTTACTTTATAAACAATTGTCTCTAAAATTCTAAGAACAGTGGGAACGCAAGACATCAATGTTACATCTTTTGTTGTCTGGAATAAAAAAATAAACACATGTTACATTGAAGACATTCGGTATATATGGTATTAAAAAAAATGTTAATGACTTTAGCCTGAACACAAATAGAATTTATAAATCTAGTACTCTGCTGCATTGTTTTTAATATATTAGTTACATCCTCTGTGTTATTCCTTAGCAAAACTTCTAGCCCGGACAAACCTTGTTTTAAAAAAATCTTAAGTATCATAGGAGATTGCTGAAAAAATTAATAAGTAAAATGAATTAATATAACTTAAAACCATTTACTAAGTTGTTTAAACTAGTACTTGCTTTTATAAAAATGTTAATGATTATTTTTGAATCTTGTTCTTTGGCCAATAACATTAGTTTTCCTAATGTGTTCATTATAGCTTCCCAAAATCTTAAGTGCTGAGTACTCGATAATGGTTTTAATATTCGATCACGAACAGCTTGAATAAATGCATGAAATACATTCCTGTATAGTAGTGGGAAATTGGACCTATAATGAATGAATAAGACATTATAAATAATGACATTATAAAAATTTTTGTGGATAATGTTGATTTTACTTGTGAAAACAAGGAAAAGTCTTTAGATGATATTTTTTTTTATCTGCTGCTGCAATTTCCTCTCTTAACCAGTTAACATTCTGTACAATTTTTTTGACATCTGCCTTGTGAAAATAATTTTTCAATACTATTTCTAGGTTTAAATTGGAATTTCTTCCTTTCTCTATTGCACCTGTTTCATCATACCATTCTTCACTTAAAAATTCATGTGATAATGTAATGAGTTTACTTTCTAAATCATTGTCTTCAATATATTGAGTTAAAGCATTTAATATTTTTATTAAATTGGCGGCACAAGGTAATGTTATAATAACTGATCTATGTCCAAGGAAAAAGTTTGCAGCAGATACTACTAAATCATGCATACTTTTTTCTTCAGAATCACAGCTTCTTGGAAATCCACCAAGTAACTCTAAAATAAAAGTAAATTATGAATAATAGAAATTAGCACTAAATTACCAGTTAATTCGTGGAACAATAATTATGCAAATCCAACCTTTAAATAATGGCTTATTTTTTGAAATGGTAAATCCTGTCCAACCAAATATAGATGAAAAAAACTTTTGTAACAAAAATAGGCAAGTTTTAGCTTGCATTGTTTTCTCGAAATACATTACATTAGCATCTTTTATATAATCACATTCCTTCAAAACATCAACTAATATATTGCAAATTTCGTTAAAATTCTCTAATACATTGGGTATGATAGGAATAATTTCCTTCATTAAAACTTCAGGTGCTTCCATAAAATTTTGTTCCTCTGATAATTTACTTTTACCATTTAAGATTTCTAATTTATAGATAACATTTTGAAGTATATACCTAAAATAAAAATATTAATCAAAGACATAGTTAAAATGGATTTGATTCATATACCTCAATATTATATCGATATCATAATTGCTTAAATAGTTTAACTGCAGAATATTATGAACGAGTTTTATTCATAAAACTTTGGAAAAAACTTTTATTTCAATTATCTAAATATTTACTAGATGGCCTATAAATTGTACTCACGACATTTCATCCATAGTTATGCTCTCTTCTTTATTACTTACTAACAATTTTTTTTTCAGTAGTATTATCAAACTATTATCATATGCTCTGAATATTTTTCCACATGGATCTATTGTTGGTTTATGATTTTTTATATTTGCTTGAGGATTAGCAGTAGTAGTATCTTCAATCTGAATAGTATCTTTATTTTGTGCTTTTTTAGTACCACCTTTCTTTGGAGGTTTCTTCGTTATTGCAACTTCTAAGTCTCTTTCTTTGTGAAAATTTGAAGATGGCGGTTTATAATCTAGACCATTAAGCGATAATAAGCTATGGAATTTTTTCTCCATATTGATAGTGCTCTTCAATCGTTTAAGAACTTTTTGTTCCATTTCAGGCATGAATAAAAATGCACTAATTAATTCTCTAAACCAATTGATACAATGAAATATGCAGTCTAGTACAGGACTACGTTGTTCAAAAGATATTTCCTCAAAATCATCTAAATCTTCAACAACTGGCATGGCAACTCCATAGTCAAGAATTGTATTAACAAAGTTCAAATTAGAACCAGACTCAACTTTCAAAAGCCTTAGTAAACGAAAAAGAGGTGATAAAGCACTTATATTGACAGCACTACAATCCCTATAACACTTGAAAACAACTGGTGCTATATTGATAAGAGCCTGATGATTTTTGTGATTTCGCTCGTTTATGCAGAACATTTCTTTGATATGACAACCATTCCTAAAATGTTTAAAATTCATACATAATTAACAATTGATTTTTTAAATCTGTCTGATAATATCATGATAAGCATATAAGAAAGTAACATGACAAACAATTTTTTATAATACTAACAATACTTCATTTGCAATTTTATCTGTAGTGAAGAATCGTTTAAAATCATTTGTAATTCTATTACACAACCAGCTACTAAATTGATCATCGAGCTCTGAATGGTGCATTTGTACCATGCTAGCTAGTTCATCATATGCCATCCCCTAAAAATTTAATTCATTCATTTATTTAGCATTGTAAAAATGTTTTAAACTATCTATAAAAAATTAATTTAATATTCTTGAATGTTACCTTGTAGTTAACTCAAAACACAAAACTATAGTTTTCTTTTATTAGATTGAAGAGAAGTTTATTCGAATTGTAGGTTTAAAATAAACTTTAAATAAAGTTTAAAATATACACGATGTAATAAATATACATAAAAATAAAAACTTTACCTCTAGATCGGGATATCCTGATATTAACATAAACATAGAATCAATCATAGATGCTGCATCTTTACATTTACCATGTTGTGGTAGATCTTGAGAGTTTTCAACTGAAGGAATGCTTGGTGCACTGGATATTTCACTATTATTGTCAAGGTGTTTTTTTGCTATATGTTGTACCACCGCCACACAGCAAACGATTCCTTTCCTCTTTTCTCTAAAATTAGATTTTGATTGCAATAACATTTCTACATTAAAACAATAAAAAAACGTACATTGTTAAAAATGATGACAACCATTTTGGAGTATATATTCGAATATCATCTTGTAATGAAAAGCCTGAGTTTTGTTCATTTAATGGGAAAGCAGCACTGCACAAAATATTCATTGCCATACGAACTTGAACCACAGTCATTGAATCGATAGAATAAAGTAATTTCTGGATCATAATAACATAAATTATATTTAAAGGCATTTTTTGTCATATGTATATATATATATATATATATATATATATATATATATATATAACTACTATATGGCATCAAGTTGCCCAGAGCGGATCATATCACCCTATACCTTGTGGTTGCAAGGCAGCTGTCATTTGCATATATAAACTGCCTTGTAATCATATATATATATATATATATATATATATATATATATATATATATAAAATATATGTATATATATATATATATATATATATATATACAGTAGTGTTGTCGTGCCGGAACACATCGTTCCGGCAAAAGAAATTTTAAAAAATCTCTACATACAGAAAATGATTTGATAAGTGAATTTTATAATTAAAGATTTAACTAATTTTTATTAAACCTTCCTATTATTGTAATAAACATACATATATATGCACAAGATGGGTTTTGTAATGATTTTTGTTTCTTTCCTTTTCGAACAGAACCGGAACAAACATGAAAACCGTTTTTTTAATTTTAGCGTTCCGGTAAAAAAAATATGTATTTGCATAACACCAATGTATATATATATGTGTGTATATATATATTATAATTAATTAGTTTATAAATATATAATTGTATAGATTGTTAATGCTTAAATATATGATAAACTCACATTCAGCAAAACAGCATTATGGCATAAATGACGTGCATGATTTGCACACAATTCCAAGAGAACAGTTAAAACTATAGTACATGTTGTTTCAGAAAATTTCACTAATTGCACTAACTCGATCAAAACTGTTTTGGTTATATGACTTGAAAACGCAGGTGTATTACTACTATCATCTTGATAATATAAATAAAATTTATAGCATAATCCCCCAAAAGCTGACACTGTTGTATACTTGCTTTTTAAAAATTTGGTGAAGAGAATAATAAACTAAAAAAATATTGTTGTTAATATAACAATTGCTTGTTAATTCTTTGAAACAAATATATTTACCTCTTGAAAATTATCTTTGAAAACGGGATAGTAATCCTTGAATGTTTTCTCTAATACATCTGGCCTTAATATGCTGTCTATTATTCGTTTGCATGTTATGGTGAAAAAATACTGTTTTCGTTTAACAGATGTTATACATAATAAGAAGATCATAATTATATCAAATGGTTTGATATCCTTGTGTGATTGATATGAAAACAATAATTTGCTCCAAATATCGATCAAAAAATTTCTTAGAGAATCTCGAATTATACCAAATGTAAGCACCTGTTTTACAATTTATATAATAATAATTCAATTTTAAAAGTTATTAATTCTCAACTCAAAATAGAAGTAAATATTAGATTAATAAAAACATAGAAGAGGAATATGTTTAAAATTTCCAGATGCTTTTAACATTTTTTAATTTAAAATATTTCAGAACTCTATTATTTATTAATTTACTTGAAATTAGTATTTCAAAAAAGTTTAAAATTCATTACCCAACCTGGCTTGTAAATCTCTCAGCTTTGTAGTGCTCATCAGAAGAATGAACCAAAGGCCCCCAATCTAAATTTGCTCGCAAACCTGTAATAATATGCTGAGCATTTTCCGGATTACATCTCCACATTAAATATTTAGTAAAGTTATGCATTTTTTCTAGCGGCGCGTCTGCCTTCAGTAGCTCTAAAATCTGGTCATCAATTTGTGCTCTCACATTTGGTGAAAGCCATAAACATCCCAAATTATCCAAAATCACATTTGTTAAAGAAAAATTATCTTGAAGAATGCGACTGAGCTCTAAAGCTATTGAATTGTGAAGATTATCAGGTGTAATCTGTGGTAAACTCCAAATAAGCTCATGCTGTGCTAGTTCATTATCTCCTGAAGTTTCTATTATTGCAAATAATCTCTTTAAAAGATTTTCCCCATCTTCAAAGGATTCCAATTCCCGAAATTGACCTAAAATACTTCTTATCCAATACATTTCACCAGATATATTTTCTTGTAATACATAAGTTATTAATTCATCGAAAAGTATATTAATTAACTTTGTCTGAATAAAGTCTATTCTTAATAGCATTTGCAATATGCTCATCTGTACATGTTCTAAAATAGGTGAATTTTCCTCAGGAAGTAACTATAAAGATCATGTAAGGACAAAAATTAATTTTAGTCATAATAAAACGTTATTTTAAAACAAATACAACATACAATAGATCCAGTCAAAAGTTTTTTGAATCTTGCTTTGTCTGTTATGTACTTCTTGAAAGATGATAAAAATTCATCGACATTATATGGATAGTCCAAATCATTCTTGAAATATTCTCGTATTTTTGTAATCAATTCGTTAGCCTCAATTCCTAAATATATTGGAGTATGTAAATTAGGGGATGATAAATATTAAAACAATCCATTATTATTGGATTAATAATGCTGAATCACAAAGATTGCTTTATTTTTTTTTTTACTTGGTGATATTGCCCGACTTAATACACTTGTTTTAATATATATATATATATATATATACAACTATCTTACTAGATGCATGGACATCCTCTTCTGGTTTGAACAAAATTCCATTTTTTTCCAATACATCCTGGAAAAATGTTTTAGCAGATTTTTCTTTTGTATTTTCGACAACTAAATTCTTTCGCAATGAATGTTGGGATCCCGATTTTAATTGTGATGTCCTCAAAACTGGTTGTGAAGCATTATTTTCAATTCTCGTACTATTGAATTGCGGTTCTTTAAAAGAAATATCTGACAAGTCCTAAAACAAAATATTAATAAATAGGAATAACATTATCATTATTATTTATTTTTCAATCCATGAATATAATAACAATTTCCAAAAGAATGCGCTATTTCATTATTTTTCTTCTATATCCAAATTTAATAATGCTTATGAGTAAAATGGTAATATCAAAAATATAAAATGAAACAAATAAATTATTGGGTAATAATATAATTAATACAAATCACAGATTTTCACGACTAGTAATTTCAAACATATCGATAAACCATAAATTACTAATTAGGAAGCTGTTTTATTATCTTTGCCAATACTTATACACAACATGTGGAAATCAGCTGATTCTTACAAAAAAGTTGGGTAAACGGCAATGAATTTGATTATATAATATATATATATATATATATATATATATATATATACATTTATTTTATCTAATTTTATATAAAGAGTCAAATTCATTTAGTCGTCCACCCAATAAAATATGTGTAAAAAGTATATAATGCAAATGTAACAAAACACGACGGTTTTGATTCGAATTAAGCTTGCTTAACGCAGATTAAAATTTTATTCTTTCGCAGAGCACAATTTTAAGCCTGATATATTAACATAAAAGAAATTCAATACGTACGGTGTCATCATTATCATCTTCTATTAAAGGTGGAGATTTTGGAGATGATTTTGAATTATTCGAAGATAACTGTGTTGGTGGTATGAATTGAGAACCGCTCAATCTACATCTTTTGTCGCTACTTTTTCTAGATAAACCTAGACCAAATCTTTTAGACATTTTGTATCACTCACAAGTAATAAATACTTTAAAATCACAAAATACTATTGATGCGATAAATATGTCACTTAATACCAAACTTTCGAGATCTGTTTGGTCTGTTCGGATCCGCTAAGTAAATGTTTTCAGATAACATAACCTCTATCTTATGTCAAACACCGTATAAACAAACTCTAGTAATTTACACCCAGTAATCTTCTAATTCGATAATTTATAAAGATTTTACATTATGATATGGTTATTTACTGTTAAAAATAATGGGAGTGACAATATTACAACAGTTTTCTATCTTAGAAAATAAAACAGGACCTCAAACAATAGAATTATTAACCAAAAGAGTGGTTGCTTTGGGTGCTGTTCCAACGGGGCAATTTTTAGTCGATTGTGAAACTTACATGTCAGTTCCTCAATTAGGTGCTCAAAAAACAGTTCATGTTCTTCACAATAGCGAACAGCCGGCGTCTGTATTCTCAATTTTGGAATCAGGAAACAAAACAATTCCTTTGGTCGCAGATGGATTATTTGATTTGCTCATGATGAAAATGACTTCAATCTACACTTCAAAGAAACAGACTAAGATAGAATCTAAAGGTCCTAGATTTGAATTGGGAGATTTTTGTATCAAACTTGGCAATGTAACAATGAGTCAGAACTTCAAAGGAATTTTAATTGAAGTTGAATATAGACCTTGCGTAATACCTGCAAGTGCTTGGGATTTAATGCGAGAATTTTTGCAAGGTTTTCTAGGCTCATCTGTACCAAGTACACCACCTCCATATTTTCAATCAAGAATGAATGACATCTATCAACCTATTGATACAATACAGCAATATTTAGAACAGTTCGGAGCCTATCGCAAAGCTACTGGAATAAGAAATTAGAATATAATGTATAAATATTGATTTTATTATTTCAATAAAAGCTGATATTTATAAAAATATTTTATTTATTATTAGGTACACATTTACAAATTACCATATGCATAAATACAGAATAAAATTACATGAAAAAGTGAATAAATACAAAATAAAAATACACACTGCATTTGTGCCTATATCCGCATAATGAATATAATAAATGGACTAACATATTTCATGTTAACTACTTTTACTTATTCATATTAAAACCATAAATTGTTATTTAATGAAATTGATTCTGATTTGGACATAAGAAGATGACCCTTTGACCATACCTTGAGTAATAATTAAGAATTTTATAGTTCACTTCATTTCATGATAATTCAATTAAAAATTTACATATTAAATCTAAACACCAAACACACCCTAGGATATGATTAAGAATGCTGTTTTTGTTTGCATTCATCTGATAGAATGCAAATGAATTAAAATATATGGATTATCGCATATAAATGCAGGTTTGGTTATTAAATAATCTACTAGAGCAGAACATAATTCATTTAAATTAGTATAAATAACTATATAAATATTGTTCATCTTCTCATGTATTTTTTCACTTACAACTAATTTATTTAAATACAAAAGCGTAATAATTTTCATACAATCTACAATGTTTTAACTTTCTGAAAAAATGGGAACATCAATCTACTTGTATTATTGAAGATGACTGAAATTTTGAAAATCTTACAGTAGTAGTAATTAATGGATAATTGTAATTCAATAATACTGTGTGAATGTGATGTAAACCCACTGTATGTACAATAAACAAATTACCAAATTTTCTAGACAAAAATCTTCGAATTTTATGAATAATAATAAACTTTACATTTGAATTTTAAAGAAACCACCTGAACAAAAGTTAGTAAATTTGCAAGTTTAAAATCTTCATTGTCCATAAGAAGACGTGTACTATGTTAATATCAATACAATGACTTACAGTATGTACAAAAAATTGGATTTAACATTCATTTGAGGTATTTTTTATTTTTTTTTACATTCTAGCAGACAACTTTACACAAATACATTTATATATATATATAGAAAAAAATAACCTAGTTTAATTTATTAGATGTTTGCAGTTTCAATTAGAAAATATATCTGTAGAATGTAATATGTATCCAACATTAATTTAAGTGACAACTGATTTTTATAAAACTGATTTCCTTTTAAAAATTAATTATCTCATTTCTAATCAGTATTTCATAAGTTCAATACCTTCAAATTTGCTCTCATTAGGATATAATAACTGCAAACACACCAAAATAATTTTTTTTTCACGGAAATTCATCTACGATACCTATAATAATTTATCACTCAAACTACATTCCCTATATTAATCTATTATTCATAATTAAAGCTAGTCATGCTTATATAAATTAGAACAATTGTACACTTATACTTAACCAAGTTGGGCTAGTGTTTCAGCAATACATCGATCATCTAATAAACCGTCCATAAGCATGTTGTGAGCACTGGTCAACTTCTCCAAAGATTTTACTTCTTCATCAACAGCTTCCAGCGCTCTTTCTAACTCAGCTGCTTCTTCCATATTTGGTTCATACTGGCCTTCTTGTTCATCAACTAATAACAAAATAGAATTAAATATATTTCAAACTAGAAAGAATTCAAAATTAGATAAGAAAAATACCAGCAAATAAGTCATTAAATGCATCAGGCGGAATTTGATTTAGCACAGTTGTGAAATCAGTTTCTTCTAGAAGTCTTGAGGCTATTTCTGGAGCAAATGATAAAACTTGTTCTACTGCAAATATACAAATAGAATTTATAGCATAATGCTACTTGAATAAAATATCATATTATTTCTCAGTTTAATAATTACCAATTTGATCTTGACCTTGTAATTCAGATTCACTTAAAACTTCTGTCATTTCAGATAATGCTCCAGCATCTTCTGAACTTTCGCAAGCAGATGAGGTTTCACAAGCTGCTGTATCAGTTACTGCAATAATGATGCAATTAATTTAAATTTATTTAAAGATTAATAATTGCACGTCAATTATGTTTTTTTTTCATGCATTACAACTTACAGCATTCACTAGTTTCTTCAAAAACTGGTATAGAATCCGGTGATTTTGCAACCGGTCGTTTTTTCTTCTTATTTCTTTTTTGAGGGCGAATCATAGCCGAAGGCTTAGGCCTCTTCCGCGGTGTTTTCTTGGGTTTCGACTCTGCTGTCATTTTATTATAATTATCCTTGAATATATTGAAACAAGTTAATTATGAAAATGAGTTTTTACTGATTTTTTAATGAGAGAGCATAAAAAGAATACCCTTTTGAGAGCATGTTCTCTACAGAGCGGTAACTCATGATTAACATCAAACACTGGTACGCTACATTGAGTATTGTCAGCAAATTTCGCCGTGCAGTGACGGAAAAGATGTTGTTCATTGCAACGAGCCACGTGTCGCGCACAATAAGCGGAGCAGGGCAAGGCAAGCGCGTCGCAGGAGCCACCGTCCTCAGCGCACTTCTGGCCGCCTATTAAACGAGCGCCAGCAATTCTAAAAATATTTTATCAAAACATCAAATACTAACATTATTTCGAAAATCAAGTACAAGTAACCCCCGCGTAACACGGTACTTCTATAAGACGGATTCGCTTTAGCACGGTTTAAGAATTGATACCATACCCCTCATAGCATGGTACTTTTGAAGCACGGGTTTGCTCTAACACTGTTTCAGAATTGAGCAAAACCCTAATAAAATAAAAAAAACATAGTAAAATCTATTAAAATCTAACTTTATTTAATCTAAAATGAGTAAAATAGCTTAATAACTGTGATGAAACTAATGCAAAAGATAACTAATTTGATGCTTATTATTCGAGCGCGTACGTTCTATAGATAAAAAAATCTAGGTTTATTCGAGCACACAGTCAATTAGTCTTAAACAAAGATCCTTTAAATAAAATGAGCATCAAATTTTAAAAAAGACAACTTTACATGTGGTAAATATATGAGTATTTTTTCGCTAAAAGCAAGTAATCGCAAATATATTTTTTTTTGCAAAAAACAATGCACGGATCTGTAGGTAGTTCAGAAAACTGCTCAAAGAAATAGGATATCTTGCAAAGAAATGATGTTGAATAGCACTTATCAGTTAATTATGATGGAAAAAAATCATATAATTCATGTAATGTATATATTACCTCTTAAAACAATTAATAAAAATAACAATATTTATAATAAAATCATGATATATAGATGTTGCATGTTTTTTTGAATTGGAACGTATCCTCTCCTTTTGTACTAGTTCTTTGTCCCGTATAACACGGATTAGCATAACACGCCAGTTTTTTGGAATATATCTACCGTGTTATGCGGGAGTTTACTGTATATTAGAATTATTTGATAAAAAAATATATTAATTGATAAAATTAAAAATTATAATACAGTGGTATTCCAAAAAGTTGCAACTTTTTTGAAGTGATTATTAAAGAGCTCAGAAAACTGCTTAGAATTTTTTGTAATGCACATAGGTGTAGTTTTTTCCTTTATCAACTCCTTCTGTTCGAATACAGTACATATCTTTGAGGTTTAACTATCGTACATTATCTCCATCCTCATATTTATATATATATATATATATATATATATATATATATATATATATATATATATATATATATATATATATATATATGTTTAATTTGAGATAAAAAGTCGGGCGTTACTTCAATAAAAATAGTATGAGAGTTTTTAAAAACTGTGAAATTGAAATTGATTGCCACTGAATGAAGGCTAAGATGCTAGCCGAAACGTATGGAGTTTAAATAAATTTCTTCAAGAAAAAATGTGACATTTCTATCTTAACCTCCGAACAGTTAATACATAGTTTCGACAACTTGTTAAGTTATCATGTTTATTTGTGTGTTTTACCATCTGTGATATTAAAAAATATTCATTTTACCAATGTGCACATACTCATAACATGGGTTAATAGTGTTTTCATATCTTATATTAGGATACAAAATTGTAAGTGTTTTATTATTATTATTATTATTATTATTGTTTTCCTATGAAATTTCTTATATATTATTTATTTAGTTTTAATTTTTATAGTTTTATTGATTGCCACTGAATGAAGGCTAAGATGCCAGCCGAAATGTATGGATTTCTAAAAACTCTCATACTATTTTTATTGAAGTAACGCCTAACTTTTTAACTCAAATTAAACATATATATATATATATATATATATATATATATATACACATATATATATATCTGTACAATAATTATTAATGTATAGTAAAACTTTTAAACACTAAAATAATCCTCGACATGTTTGCATTGGTAAATCGTTATTACATGATTAGCAAAAATATATAATTTGAATTACTAACTTTAAAATAATTTACTATCATAAAAGAGCCAAAATATTTCTATGATATGTAATTTTTTTTGAGAAAACGCTTGCTCACTCAAAGTTTGTATGTCAAATTTTGCTCATAAATCAAAGCAACAAATCGCTGCTTGAATGGTTTGCAACTCGAAACACTCACATGCTGGGTCGTTTGTAAGTTGGGGTACTACTATAATTCAAACTTTCTAAACTTTTCAAACTACCTTTCATGCACATCATCTTTCCTCTTAGCAGCCAGTTTTTGAAGAGCTAGCATGGCTTCTCGAACTGCACCATCCGCCACAATCCTTTCCATGCTAAGACCCACTTCGCTAGCACAAGCAGTTGCATCAGTCGTGGATGTGTACCTTTCTAAAGTATCTTGAAGAGCACATCGAAGGGCTGTTGTTTCTTGTTCAGCCCGCCTTCGAAACAATGCGCGACGGAGTGATAAACGCAAATCGCGAGGTATACGTTCTCCTACACCTCCAGAAGCCTGTTGAAGGTGTGCACTAAACCAAGTCTTTTGGAACCAGCAAGAACTCATGAATCCATTGCTACTACCTAGAAGTGATAAAATTTATTATATCAAATGACTTTAATGCTTGTATGAATACTTTTTAGAAATTAATCATTTATAGAAAGCACAAATCTGACATATTAAAATCCTAAATCAATTATTTTGGAAATTTCAGTATCAAATATTATAATAAGTAATAGTGCACAAAGAATTTTGAATAATTTAGATAATTTAACATTTTAAACAATTACCAATAGGTTCAGTATTTACTTCAAATAAGGAAAAAAAATCTATGGTAAGAATCTAATAAATTTATAAAATATAATAATCAACATGACCAGTTCAATTACACAGAATCAATATTCTCCAATATACTTCAAGTGACATCCAAATATATAAAAATTTAAGCAACCTGTATTATTACTCCGATCCAGTCTTTGAATTGTGCATAAATCATAGTCAAAAGCATATGCCCCTGGAGCATGCCATTCCTCATCATTATTAACACTCCGCGTCCGCTGCAGAGCTTCGTGTAAACCAGGTGCTCTCCTCTCCAGCTTAATAGTTCTGCGCTGCTGATACTCAGAAGGGTGTGGTTTACCTATTTTAGAGATATATTATAGAAAATCTTTACTTTATTTTAAATCAAAGTAATAAAAAAATAATAATAGTTAGGACCTTGCAGTGTTTTGAAATCCAAGAAAAAATATAAAATTGCAAATGCTTATTGTAATTTACATAATTTATACCGACTGTTAATATTATATTACATATTGTACAAAATATGTATGTTTTAAGTTTAATTAAAAACCATCATTTGTATTGTAGTTCAAAAAAAGAACTTATCAAAATCTCACCAGAAGGCAGTTTTTTAGGAGACGTGAAACTTATCACATTTTCATGAACACTAGGTTTATTATAAGATTTATTCAGGTACTTTACATCACTATCAATTTCTGATTTTATACTTTTTTTGAGTACTTCGTAGTCATCAGTTTGTTCCACTTTGATATCTATATCACTAAAATTACCACTTTGATTTATCTGATTCACTAATTGTTCTGCAGAATTTGTCTTAATAATGGGGTACACTACACTTGTGTTATTTTTATCGAAATTATTTCCTTTTGTAACATCTTGAAAGTTACTGACAATATTTGAAAAAGGTTTGTTATATTTATTATCTATATCACCATTGGTTAGCCTTAAATGACCATTTTTGAACTGTTCTCCACTATTACTAAGCTTCAAAGGTGAATATATGCAGCTTGGACTTTGTGATGGAGTATCTAAGAATGCATAAGGATCCTGAGATGGCGACATACTTGATGAGCTGCTAGTTGGGCTGCGCAGGGCCCCGAGATGCCCTGACGACGTGACACCTAACTTAGCCACGCCGTTGCAGCTGGCAAATAAGAAAATAATCGTCAGTAAAAACAAATAATTGTCATTAAACAAGAATGCAACAAATCTCATTTACAGAATGCAAAATTTTGTTACTTTCTATTTTAGTTATAGTTTATATAGCAATAGTTTTGTATTATTATTGAGCTTTAGAGCATATCAAATTTTCAAATAATCAACTCTACTACTGTATTTCAATTTCTACTTACATAGAGGAACTTTGTAGTCCGACACTAAACATCACATAACAATATATATGCTAAGTTAGCTTTAATTGCAGTCTGGTAAATGGTATAAAAAACTTCTTCATTGATCAACATATAGCTTTGGTCCTTTAACTCCATTCTGAAACAAAATATTTAATAAATTCTTTAAAATAATCAATAATAACCTATACATCTTCTAAAATGACAGATGCTATTACAATAGAAAATAATGTATATAATTATATTAAGTCTTATCTGCAATAAATTTATGAAATAAAATAATTTATAAAATTGTTGTATTTTTAAGTATTAGGAATCTATTACAAACATTTTATCATTACTATCAACATCTCAACCTAGCTTTACTGACATTACTGACATTTGAAAAATAATTCGTTTGCCAGCTTCCAAGAGTATTGTAAAATAATTTCTTAACCTTATAATAATATTTAATTTTATAATTGGCTCAAATCCATTAAATATTCTATTATAAACACTTTAAAGTTCGCAATTCATCATAATAATAATGACGAACATTTGTCAACTTCCAAATACTCACTATTAAAATTTAATAATATTTATAGCTACAGTTATAACAAACTAATTTATAAAAACACCAATTAATATAAAATATGATTTGTAATGATTATAAACTAAATAAAAACATTTATTATTATGAGAAGACTGACAGAATGCAGTAATATGGCGGCCGTTCCCGGCCTCTTCTTTTTATTTTTAAAAACCATATCAGTTGCGCAAAGCGCGAAATTCAATTTAAACGTTCATGTTGGATTGTTTTTACTTTCTCTGAATTTTTTAATTAAAATGATAATGCTTTTTGTATTTATATTGTTTAACGCAAAGTAGTTTTCCAATTTTAAAATCTACTTTTCAAGTGTATGTCAACAATAAATGACTTAATATAATAAAAATATTTTAATGTTCATTTTATTCAATAAATTATTATTACAATATTATTAAGGAATATTGAGTTTTTTTTATTTAAGTAAAATACATATTTTTCATATTACTTTAAATAAAATTTCAATAATATCCAGATTTTTTTTAAATAAATCAATTAATATTGGATTGTGTTGTATTACGTTACCATGGTAACAAGTTATAAACTCAATAATATTTGTTCTTGTTTAAATTTCTTTTAATTGAAGAATTATTTAATATTATAATGGGCGATGAAAATGCTTGGGTATTTGATTCTTTAATATGCTTTTTACACGGACCTGTATGGAATGCACCTATTTTGAACTTTATAGAAGAGAAATCTATAAGTAAGCTTTATATTAAACTAATTATGTATAATTGCTATGTCAGATTTGTTTGTTTAATATTATAATATATGATTCAATTTGAATTTTCCATTTATAATTATTTTAGTTTTCGATCCAAATAACGAAGATCACGACAATGAAGAATTTGGACGATTACACCATGAATATAAAAATTTGGTAAAGATTATTTAATTTATTTTAAGTGTTTTTTACAATTCATCTAAATATATAATAATAAAAAATTAACTCTACTACCATAAAACCAGGTAGATTTTATGTTAGGCAGTTTCATGGAAGAGATGTGCATATCTCCTGAACAATTTGAGATAGCTTGTTTGGAAGGTAAAAGCGAACAGGATCATGGATTACCGTTGCCATTTCAAAAAGGCTTGTTCCAGCAGGTATTTTGTCGTATAAAATATTACATTACATTATTATAAAAAGTTGCGTTAGATTATTGATAAACAAAGTGTGCTATTTTGCCAACGTTCAATCCACTTGACTTTTTAAATTTGAGTAGATTTGTTTTAATTGGATATGAAATATGCAGATATGGGCTGCCAATGATTTAAATAAATTCATTGATATGATGAAGAAAAGAAATATAGAAATTCAATTGCAAGCCTTAGAACTAATTGAAAGAAAACGCGATCCTAAATCTTGTATAACGTCTGAAGATGAAGCATTAAAAGAGATAATTGAGTAAGTATGGTCAATAGTGATTTTTATTCAATTATGTGGACAAAAATATTATTAATAATGCTTATTAATAATTGAAAGGCAAGATATTGACGAAACAAGTTTAATAAATGAGGTTTCAGCTGAATCTATCCAAATTGCAAAATTATTAGATGATGAAGCGGTATTAAAAAATAAATGTACGGAAGAGAATACCAGCCATGAATCTTCAATGAATAATACAATAAAAAATCTAACATTCAATAAAAAACAAGTAAGTCACAATGTAATTTTTTGTTATGAAAATACATAATATCGCAAAGCATAATCATCTGTATAATATAGTAGTAATTAAGTAACGCATGTATTAGTGCTGTCGCCAAGAAAAGTTGAAATTAATTAGAGTTACTATTGTATTTCAAGTTTATATTATGCCATATACTGTTAAAATTTATTTAAAATATTTTAGATAGATGCTTCAGAGTTAGATGAGCGAAAAAAATATTTAAATGCGCAACGTGATAAACTTATCGCTTTAAAAAGGCAAATTAGATCCAAGAAACTCGTAGAAAATGAAATAATGGCAAGTAGACCAATGTCCTCTAAAGTTCAACAAATAATAAATGGTACAGCAAGAGTGGATGATCAGTCAGAATTACAAGATATAGATAAAAATCAATTAAACATAACATTACGTAAAACACTGGCAAACAGATTAAAACAAGAAGTTGTAAAGGCCGATCAACAATCCAGCAGCAGCAGCAGTACTAAAACATAAAAGCAATTATTTGTGATATAAAGCTGTTTTGTTTTATACTTATCAATGTTTATTCTTAGCTCAATTACAATATTAATATATGAAGCTTGTTCTTATATAGTACAGCATTTAAAATATGATAAATTAATTACTTAAAACAGAAATTATTACATGGACTACTTTGCACCAATTGTGATGGATTTGAACTGCACAAAAATATCACAAATAATATCATATCAATCTACATTAATACAAAAAAAATTAAATAATATTTAATATCAAATAAATAATTCACACTAATTTAAAAAGAGTTATAGATATCTTGGTGGCTGAAAGGTTTATAATTTTATTGTATAACATGTAATAAAAAGCATTAAACCTACAACAGAAAATAAAATAGCTACGATAGATTTAAAAATGCAACTCATTTGAGGCATAGCTATAAGCAAATAGATTAAGTTTCGATGTTTCTGTTTTTATTTGTGTTGCTGATAATATAAATAAGAAAGAATTTTACATGCTACATTTTATTTCATATGAATATATGTTGCCCACTTTTATCAGATTTATTAATCATTCCATATAGATTTTAATCCACATATTCGCTTTCATAAAAGTTTTGTTGATATTAACAATTTTTGTGCCATTTTGTTATAACTATTTATTCCAAATAAATAAAAATATAAAAATTTTCCTTCATAAAATCAAAGGAAATATAAAAAATATCACATTCATATATGGAATATATAGTTAACTTCAGAATACCAGTAGAAATATACAAATTTGTTGGAAACATTGAAATTAAATATTGACAAAAAGTGGAAGATCAAAATGACATCTGTTATTTATTATGTTTCCCATATAGCACATTTTGTGCAATTCATGATATCTTAATATCATATAAAATCAAATGATTTGCATAATTTACCATCCATTGATTACAGCTTTAACATTATTTCACAAAAATGATTTATCTCAAAAAAATAAAACCTTTCATTTCATTCAAGTGAGAACTGTTAATGAAAAACTGAAAACAAAATAATTTTCGCTTTAATTGTATCTTGAAGAGTGATAAATATGATGTGATATGTTCAAATCCCACTATTCCAAAAAAAAATTGAAAATATTCGTATTTATGTAAAGTAACTTCAATCTCACAAGTAATTATAAATTATGGTTAATTTCTGCAAATTCAAGATATATGTTCAAAAAACAATCAGAATAAGACAATTTCAGCCACATATAAGTTGGTACTTATGAAAATCAAGTTAAAATCACATAAAAAGTAATACATAATTTAGATTACAAAATTTATACATAAACCAATTTTGTACATTTTGCAAAATTTTGTAAAAGAACTATAAAAATACACATAAAAATACATATGTATATGAAAGTATCGATCATAAGCATATATATTTAATAGTGTATATACTCTATACAAACATGAAGCTGAATATACAACGTAATTGTATATATACATACATATATGCACGCTTATATATATATATATATATATATATATATATATATATATATAAACAAACATATTTAAATAATATGCATATAAATATAAATTGTCAAGAATGTCACCCAAAACTGCTAAATTAAAGACTGGTTAAGCACTGCAGTTTTAAGGTAATAATTAAAAATATTTATTTACATATGATACAGTAATGATATGTTCATTGCGAGTGTTTTTCAAATTAAAAATAGTTGCAATGAACATATATACTGGAACAAATAAATTAATCCAGAAACAAAATGCACAATTTTTTAAATCTACGTACAAACCAACATTCAAATTTGTGCACTCAGATATGCAAAGATTTATACATTGTCCTTTAACATGTTTGAATCTGTTACTCATTTAAAAATCCAATCAAACCAGCCTCACAAATTCATAGATAATATTAGATCACTCACAAATTGTTTCTCTTATTTTTCATGTTTTTTTTTATAAAAGTCATAACATCGAGGTATTGTGTGTTATAATTTCTTATCTATTTACCAAAACATCCATGGGTTTTTGGATATCCTTTTAAAACATTTCGAAGATTTTCATGTGAGTCGGGCTCGTTTTGCTACTGGGGTACAAACATTGGAAATGTCGTCATCTTCCTCCTCATCAGAATCGCCATCATAATCAACAAGTCCCTGATAATATATAATATGAATAAAAATATATAAAAAACAGATGGAACAATATATTACAAATTAATTACAGATAATTGGAGATTATTGAGAATGAGAATGTATTACATATTAAAGATTAAACTACACATTACACTAATGTGTTATTATAAATAGATACACATAAATTTATAAATGGAATTGCAACATAACACTACCTTAATAACAAAGTCAATATCCCAATTACAAACCTTTTTGAATAAAGATCCCTGTGCTATAGCAGATGCTACTGGGGCTGCTACTGTTTCATTGTTTGGGTTATTATTTTGCCCTGGACTGTCAGGACTACCCGGTGAACCTCTCGGACTGCTATCAGGTGATGTATTATTATTATGCAAAGTGGTTGTACCAGTCATAATTGGATTATTAGCTACAGGTTTTGTTGTATTTTGAGCATTATTAGGAGTGGCATTTGATAAACGTGTTGTTAAAGGACCATTAGTTTCTGGTGCCTTTTTTTCAATTATTTTACCTATAACAGAATAGGCTAGTGTAATTTATGTTCATACAATTATTGATTCTTAAATAAACAATCATTTTTTACAATAAATTAAATATAGTCATTTACTTTACAACTGATGTAATAACACCTTACTGAAAATAGTTACAAAAAAACATTTCGCTATTTACCTAAAGAGTCTAAGTCTGTATCAATTTTATGTGCCGGTACAACAGAATCACCACCATCTTCAAATTCCTCTTCTTCATTGAACCACATTTCTTCTTCCTCTTCCAGTTGCCGCTGATCTCTATGATATCGTGAATTACGTAAAATAGAGGGTACTCTAAAATTTGTGAAGAAATCAAAATTAACAACTATTATTATATTTATATCTATTAATAAGATTGTGTGCAAAACATTGTGTATAAAAACATACCCATCTAAAATTCCTCCACGATCTCTGTCCTTCAGTTGATCATACCTAGTTTTTAGTGCTTTGAATGTTTGTACATATTCTACTTCATCTAGAATTTTACCAAAGTTTTCCACAACATGTGAGCACAAACTTTTAATATCCTCTAATTTTATAAATTCAAATAATTCTAGAACAGCAGAGTCTAGTAGATTATAGCTAAAATTCAGATAACAAAATTTATCAATTACAAAATATTCATTACAAGTTAAAAATAATTTTGAGAAAAAAACATCGAACTAGCATAAGTGATAATAATGTATATAAAAATATTACCGTCCGTTATTCCTAAGGAATGCATCGATAACTGGAGCAAACAAATTGCCTTTGATTATATAGCGATTGTAAAATTCATCTTTTAGGGCAATTATTTTTCTCATAAACCGCAAAGCACAAAGAACCAAAAATGTATGGGTTGATTTCATGAGAACCAAAATACGCCGCAAAAGATCTTTATTGAGTATCCAATTTTTAATATGATATGTGTGATGCTCCACACAGAAAGATAATAATTCGAGAACCAGACCTAATAACTGTACAGTATGATAATCTTCTTGTAGTGGCTTTTCTCCTGTTGTATTTTCCAACAACGGCGCTATGATATAAAAAATTTCTTTAATATTATGGTCAAAATATATAGCTCTTTCAAATATAATAAATAACAAGTACCTATGAGTGTATGCACACTATGTTTATAGAAAAAATTAAGAAAGTCAGTTTTTTCTGTTTTCGTGTTCGAAGCAAGCATGTTCTCTGGATCGAGTAGCATTCTTAGAACTCCCATTAATTGAACAGCTCCTCCCAGTTCAGGATCTTGATCAACAAGCATTTGCTGGATCATTATATTTAGAAGAAGTTGGTCCTGATAGTAAATATAATTGTATATAAAAATTTTACATGTTGGAATATTTTATATCTCGTAAAGAAAAGGTAGAACAATCACAAAAATGTATCCGAAATTTGAGTATACTATATGATTTCTTACATAATGAAATTTATTTTCTGACATTAATTTTAGATTTAGATTTTACCTCTTCCACATTATTTGCTTGCTGCAAAGTATATTCTCGAACAACTGATGGTGAAAATTCAACAATGTAGGTCAAAATATCTATCGATGCTGTTTTAGTTTTTTGATCCTCAATACCAAGTGTTATTTCTAAAGCAGGAAGAATTCCTAAGCTTGTCAGTGTTTTATAGAATGCCTCTTTACCAGGTTGTTGCAAATTTTGTGAAAAATTGCAAAACTCTTTAAGAAACAATACAAGGTCTCTTCTTTTCAGATCTGAAGTTTTTTCATTGGTCAATAAAGAAAACAGGTCAGTAAATCTTTCATCCTCCTGAATTAATGTTACAATTTCTACTTTATTAAAAAATATAAAACTAGATAGTGTACTAAGCATGTTATCTTCAAACACAGAAGGAGTTGGTAAAACAATATCTTGAATATATTGCACTCTATAAGTTTGGTGAATTTTGGCTAAAAGATCAGGGCTTTTTATGGGTATTGCCTCTCTAAATTTGGCCAACATTTTCAAGTAATCTCGATGCTTTTTGGGTGTACTTAAGCTAGGATCATACTCCAGACAGCCAACAACATCAAAAATTGTTTCCTCCGCAAACATGACTTCAAACAGTGCATTTTTGTTCAAGAGAAATATGTTTTTAAATATTTCATAAAGATGATGCAAACCCTCTATGCTTTCCAAATCTTCACACATGTGAAAAAGATTTAACAATTTTCGGATATAATTGTCAGACTCTATTGCAGCAGCTAGTTTATCTTTGCGCAATTGAGATGTTAAACATTGCGCGATCATTTCACTTATTTCGCCCAATCTTGACAATTCGCAAGGCGGCAGCTCAATAGGGGGAGCATTATCAGACATATCATCAAAACGCTCATCTTCAGACTCTTCTACAATGTCCTGTGTTATTTCCACAGATGGATCTTTTCCTTGAACCTGTCAAATGATATTAGAAATTATACATACTTGAAGAAATATATTTCACATGTACCAGATGAGGACTCACTTGACAAATTTTTTCCCAAATTTCATCACAACCAGCCTTTTCTTGAAAGCTAAGTGCTAAATCAAAATTATCACCCTCTGACCAAACGATAAGAGTATCTTGTTGTTTTTGGTAAGTAGTATCATGTTGAATTTTTGATTCTAATAATAATGTACCATCTAACTCAGCACGGACCATTAATGAAATTCCTTTCAATCTTTCAATATATACACAAGACACATGACCAGTGCCTCTATCATCCCACTGCCTTTGTGCATTCAGGGCATATAACTTTACTCTTCGCCTAGTATCTGACATATTGAGCAATGTTTTTTTGAAGATTTATTTATCCGTTTCTAAAGTATATCTGAGCAGTATTCATCTATAAAATGTATTCCCAATATCAGCAAATATATGCGAAAAAATGGAAACATTAAAATATGCAAATATAACTATACCGCATTATAATTTATTAATTAAAAGTTACTTAATTCTGTATATATCTTGGTCATTTATATTTTATGCAAAATTTTCATTAAACATACTCACTCTTGTCAGGTTATTTAGATATTTCTACAATAGAACCATTAATAGCAAATCACTTAATCCACAGCAATTAAAGTTTAGCAAATAATCAACACATTTCTCAAATTCATCTAATTATATAAATCTTTTATCAATAAAAATATTCAAAATACCACAGCTCACAATTTTAAATTACATATTAGAAATTATATAAAATTTATTCAACAAGCGTTACATTGACGTTCTTTAGAAAGAGTTCATAACATTAATATCGCCATATTGAATTCACAACAACGCTTCTGATTAAAGGGTTCGCGTGGCAAAAACTGTGGACAAAATGGCAGCATGGCGCGATTTTCAAACTTCACTTTTACAGACACCCATAGACAAATAAGTATAAAGACACCGAACTGAGATGAATATTACGTTTGATGGATGCCTAAGAACACTTCATCATGTAAGTAATATATTTTATATAATTTTTAATAACTTCTAATTTTGTCACTGAATAGGATTATAGCCGAAACGTATGGATGTAAAATACATTTTTGAAAGAAATTAATGTTTTTTATTGATGATATGCCCGATTACTAGACTTTGTTAATACGTGTTACAAAGTCTTGTGAAGTCAAAAACATTTACAAATATTCTCGAAAAAACTAGTGTTTTTAACAAAAAATATTAGTGATATAGATATATAAACTATTACAGAATAAACTTGTTGATGGAACGTATCTAGTTCCGAAACGTCGTTATTAAACATCTTCAAAAAACAAATTGTTTTTTATTATTGGATTTACTGTTCGGAAAAGAAACAATCATATATATATATAGATAGATATGAGTATATGTATGTTTATTCAAGTACATGTACGTCCTTGTGAATATGCATGCACGTGCATATATGTATATCTGTGTAAATGTATACATATGTATATGTATATATATGCATGTGTATATGTATATATACGTAGGTCTATACGTATGTGTACTTATATATACTTTTTCTTTTTTATCTATTTAATATATAGTTTCAATTACCTTTTCTATCTTTTATATTTTGTTTGTTAAGTGTTGCTGTTTTGTTAATTTTTCTCTTATATTTATAGTCTATATACCTAGTTATACTAATTTTTTATACTGTTTTTAGATCCACTGATGATGGCATTAAATTGAATGTCGAAACGTTTGGAATTAAAGATTAATTTATAAATCTTTGCTTTTTATTATTTGATGTATCGCCCCACAAGAACTTACTCATTATATATATATGTTAAGATATTTAAAAAGAATTCGAAAACAAAAATTACATGATGACCAAAATTTTGTTTTCATTCAAAAAAATATTGCGATTTAGGAAACATGTATTGATTCTATGAATGAATTTAATAAAATAAAACGTAATTACAAAAATATTTATTACAACATTTGGTTTGTTATTCCATAAAATTGTTGTTACTTATTTTAAACATACTTATTTTAAAAACCAAAGAAAAAAAAATTTGAACAAATATATCATTGTTAATGCATTTCTACATTTATAACATGATTTTTCATTTTACTCTATATTATGATTTATATAATGTCATCATTAATATTAACAATGAGCTAATGACTTCATGTCTTATTTTTTTTAAAATTGTTTACTAAATCTTGTAATTATGACAACTAAGAAGTTCAACTCCTGGAATCGTCCATTCATCCATCTTCTTGCACCCAGTAATGACGTCCAGTCCTGTCCTCTTCTTGCACCTCGTAGTAGTATCTAGCCCCGTTTTACACGTCGTCGCCGGATCCAGCCCCGTCCTTGCACGTCTTAGATGCATCCAGTCCCATTTTTACATGTCGTAGTTGCATCCCAGCTGCGGTTCAGGCATCTTCTTGCACGTCGTAATAGCGCATTCAGCCCAGGCATCTTCTTGCACGTCGTAGTAGTGCGTTCAGCCCAGTCCAATTCTCTCGCACGTTGTAGTAGCGCGTCCAGTGCATTCCGGTCTTTTTGCACGCCCAATCTGGACTAGTCTTCTTGCAATTTCAGTTATCTAGCGCTATTTCTGGCGACTGGCTCAGCCCAGTTTTACTCGTCATAGTAGCGCGTCTAGCCCAGTCCGGTCTTCTTGCTCGCGCAGACCAGTCCGGTCTTCCTGCACGCCCGGCCAGTTCAATTCAGTCTTCTTGCACGCCCAGTCCAGTTCAGTTAAATTTTCTTGCACGCCCAGTCCAGCCCGATCATCTTGCACGCTAAGTCCAGTTCAGTTCAATCTTCTGGCACGCCCAGTCCAGTTCAGTTCAGTCATCTTGCACGCCCAGTCCAGTTCAGTTCAGTCTTCTTGCACGCCCAGTCCAGTTCAGTTAAATCTTCTTGCACGCCCAGTCCAGCCCGGTCTTCTTGCACGCCCAGTCCAGCCCGGTCTTCTTGCACGCCCAGTCCAGTCCAGTTCAGTTCAGTCTTCTTGCACGCCCAGTCCATCCCGGTCTCTTGCACGCCCAGTCCATCCCGGTCTTCTTGCACGCTCAGTCCAGCCCGGTCATCTTGCACGCCCAGTCCAGCCCGGTCATCTTGCACGCCCAGTCCAGCCCGGTCATCTTGCACGCCCAGTCCAGCCTTGTCATCTTGCACGCCCAGTTCAGTCCAGTCCAGTCTTCTTGATCGCCCAGTCCAGTCCAGTCTTCTTGATCGCCCAGTCCAGTCCAGTCTTCTTGATCGCCCAGTCCAGTCCAGTCTTCTTGATCGCCCAGTCCAGTCCAGTCCAGTCTTCTTGCTCGCCCAGTCCAGTTCGGTTAAATCTTCTTGCACGCCCGGTCCAGTTCGGTTAAATCTTCTTGCACGCCCGGTCCAGTTCGGTTAAATCTTCTTGCACGCCCGGTCCAGTTCGGTTAAATCTTCTTGCACGCCCGGTCCAGTTCGGTTAAATCTTCTTGCACGCCCAGTCCAGTTCAGTTAAATCTTCTTGCACGCCAGTCCAGCCCGATCATCTTGCACGCCCCAGTCCAGTCCGATCATCTTGCACGCCCAGTCCATTCCAGTCCAGTCGGTCTCTTGCACGCGAAGTCCAGTCCAGTCCGGTCTTCTTGCACGCCCACAGTCCAGTCCGGTCTTCTTGCACGCCCACAGTCCAGTCCGGTCTTCTTGCACGCCCACAGTCCAGTCCGGTCTTCTTGCACGCCCACAGTCCAGTCCGGTCTTCTTGCATGCCAACTCCAGTCCGGTCTTCTAGCACGCCCTGTCCAGTCCAGTCTTCTTGATCGCCCAGTCCAGTCCAGTCTTCTTGATCGCTCAGTCCAGTCCAGTCTTCTTGCACGCCCGGTCCAGTTCGGTTAAATCTTCTTGCACGCCCGGTCCAGTTCGGTTAAATCTTCTTGCACGCCCGGGTCCAGTTCGGTTAAATCTTCTTGCACGCCCAGTCCAGTTCGGTTAAATCTTCTTGCACGCCCAGTCCAGTCCAGTCCGGTCTTCTTGGTCGCCCAGTCCAGTCCGGTTAAATCTTCTTGCACGCCCGGGTCCAGTTCGGTTAAATCTTCTTGCACGCCCAGTCCAGTTCGGTTAAATCTTCTTGCACGCCCAGTCCAGTCCAGTCCGGTCTTCTTACTCGCCCAGTCCGGTCCGGTCCGGTCTTCTTACTCGCCCAGTCCGGTCCGGTCCGGTCTTCTTACTCGCCCAGTCCAGTCCGGTCTTCTTGCACGCCCAGTCCAGTGCGGTCTTCTTGCACGCCCAGTCCAGAGTCCGGTCTTCTTGCACGCCCAGTCCAGAGTCCGGTCTTCTTGCACGCCCAGTCCAGTCCGGTCTTCTTGCACGCCCAGTCCAGTCCGGTCTTCTTGCAAGCCCAGTCCAGTCCGGTCTTCTTGCACGCACAGTCCAGTCCGGCCTTCTTGCACGCACAGTCCAGTCCTGTCTCCTTGTACTTCCATTTCAATCCTTTTCTCGCACGTTGCGTAGCGCAACCAATCTATTCTTGCACGTCGTAGAAGAGCGCCATGTCCATTCGTCTTCTTGCAGGCTCAGTCCAGTCCAGTCCATCCTTCTTGCATGCCCAGTCCAGCCATCTCGCACCTCCATTATCGTAGCGCATCCAGTCCAATCCGGTCTTCTTGCACGCCCAGTCCAGTACGGTCTTCTCGCACGTCCGGTTCAGTCCAGCCCTCTTCTCGTACGTCCTCTGTCCAGTCTTCTTCTCGCACGTCCTGTCTAGTCAGGTATTCTAGTACGCCTAGTTCAGTACTGTTTTCTTGCACGCCCAGTTCAGTACTGTTTTCTTGCACGCTCAGTCCAGTACGGTCTTCTTGCACGCCCAGACCAGAATGGTCTTCTCGCACGTCCAGTTCAGTCCAGCCCTCTTCTTGCACGTCCAGTAAACTCCTCTTTTCACACGTCGCGTAGCGCGTCCAGTCTAGTCCGGTCTTCTAGCACGCACAGTTCAGTACGGTTCTCTTGCACGCCCAGTCCAGTACTGGTCTTCTTGCGCACTCAGTTCAGTATGGTTTTCTCGCACGTCCAGTTTAGTCCAGCCCTCTTCTTGCACATCCAGTCCAGTCCAGCCTTTTCTTGTACATCCCGTCTAGTTCAGCCCTCTTCTTCCACATCCAGTCCAGTCCAGTCCAGCCCTCATCTTGCACGCCCAGTCCAGTCCAGCCCTCTTCTTGCATGTCCAGTCCAGTCCAGCCCTCTTCTTGCACGTCCAGTCCTGTTTCCTTCTCAAATATGGCGTAGCGCGTCCAGTCTAGTCCAATCTTCTAGCACGCAGAGTTCAGTGCGATTTCCTTGCACGCCTAGTCCAGTATGGTCTTCTCGCATGTTTAGTCTTCTTCTCACAAGTCCAGTTCAGTCCAGCTCTTTTTCAGCACAGCTATCTTCTTGCACGTCGTGATAGCGCGTTCAGTCCAGCCTTATTCATGAACATTTGGTCCAGCAAACTAAAATTCATTTTTATATAAATAAAAAGTAAACAGAAAGAAACTTTTATATAGTAATATATTAATTTATTACCTTAAATTGGTAGCCATATATGAAATTTGACAAAGTCTTGCTCTTCTGAAAGATTCCTCCATGATATTCTGCATGAATCAGCACAGCACAAGTTGAAGATTGTCATAGTTCAAACGTTCATTACACTTCACTCACTGTATTTCATATTCATAACAATATGCAAAATAATTACCAAAATACAATGCTTTTGTTGT